CCAGCTGGAATTTGGTTTTTGTTTTTGTGGGGTTTTTTTGGTACCGGGAATTGAACTCACAATCTCGAGCTTGCCAGGCAGGTGCTTATGGCCACTGAGCTAAATCCCCAGCCTCCTAGCTTGGATTTGAACCCCAACAAACCCAACTTCAGAGTCCCTGATCTCACCCCGGCCACCCCTCCCTCCACCTCCCATTCCAATTTGTACCTGCAGCTTTCTCGAGGCTTCCATTAATTGATCTAGAGGCTTCTAGAATTGAGCTGCTAAGGACTGAACCCAGGCAGGGCTGAGCTATGGCCACAGCCTGTTAAGATTTCTTATTCTGAGGCAAGGTTTTGCTAAGTTGCCCAGGCTGGCCTCAACCTCCTATTTTATGTATTTACATATTTATCACAGTACGGGGGGTTGGACTCAGGACTTCTGTATTGACCCACATCCCCATCTCTTTTCTATTTTTTGAGACAAGGTCTTGCTAAACAGTTAAACTTCCCGGCTGTGTCTGGACAGGTGATCCTTCTTTCTGACGTCCGGAGTGCTGCCTGCAGGGCTGTACCACCAGGCCCAGCTCAGTCACAGGCTGCAGTTCTGGGGTCGGGGTGGCAGGTGCTGCAGGCTTCTGCCAGCAAGGCAGGTGGAGGGAACATGGCTCAGGTCTGCGGTCTCCCCGTCTCCTCGCAAAGCCAGCGTGGCTCGGTCTCTGCTTACCGGACAGATGGCCTCATCCGGTCACTGCGGAGCCCCCTCTGCCTCACGCGGTCAGGTGAAGTGTCCACCCTCACAATACCAGTGACACAGCTGTGGGGATTGGACGCCCGCAGGCAGGAGAAGGGGCAAGTGGCCTCAGGGCCAGCTGTGGCCTCCCACGTGGGGGAGCGGCCTCTCCCGAGGGAGCCAGGCTAGAAGTCTTTGGGCTTACGGAGCCAGGCCGTGAGCGGCACCCTAATGACTCGGGCACCTTTGTGTCCATTGGACCACCTCAGCCCCAGGTCCCCGCCTGCCCCTGTCCCCTGGAGGGGAGGCCCAGGGACAGGCAGGTGTGATCTCACACACTCACCCCGTCACCTCACGACTCCCTTCCCCTACTACTCACGGGCATGAACTGGGTCTTTTTGTTCTGTTTGCAATGCTTAAAAACTTATTTTAGAGGATGGGGACGGGAATGGGGAATAAAAGAGACAAGCGAGACACATCGTGTACAGATCCAGTTCCCTGCACCGGGCGCGCTCATTCTGTACCTTAAATTTAAGCTGTGTGTGAGACAGGGTCTTGCAACGAAGTTTAAACTGGCCTCGAACTATGTAGCCCAGGCTAGTTCTGAACTCGGAACAGTCTTCCTGCCTCAGCCTCCCAAATGCTGGGATCACAGGCATGTGCCACCGTGCCTGGCTAACACTTTTAACTCACCCATAATAGCTACATATCAATGGAATACTGTGTGGTATTCGTATACATAAGTGAATGGCAATGAGGGGGCTGATAACACATCGCCTTAGGATTTCTCCCTCTCGGGACACTGAAAAATCCTCTTCTCACCGGCTGCAGTGTCCCACTCGACACTCTTATAATCCCAGCCACACAGGAGGTGGACGGGGGCTAATTGGAGGCCTGCCCGGGCAGCTTAGTGAGACCTTATCTCTCAGAGTTTAAAAAAAATTCTCTTCTACCTATTCTGAAATACACTATTAATCCGCCGGGTGAATGTGCCTGCATCCCCAGCTACTCGGAAGGCTGAGGCAGGAGGGTTTACTTCAGCTTCACACACCAGTGAGACAATGTGACATTTACAGGTGCCTTATCTCACTTATGAGTATGGTATCAACTTGCATCCTTTACTCCTAAGTCTCCTGTTTATCCTTCTTTGTGGCTGAGTAGTACTCCACTGCATAAAAATACATCTTTTTATCCATTTCTCAGTCAATGGGCATTTAGGTTGTGAAACCAACTTTTTAGTGTCTACATATGAGAATGTGCCTCTTTGTCCTAATGGCTTATGTCACTGAACCAAGTCCTCCATCCTTATCCAGTTTGCTGCAAATCACAGGACTCCTTTTTCCTGTTTGAGAAATATTCTATTGTGTATATATCACATGTTCCATATGCAATCATCTGACTTTGTCACTTTAATGAAATTTTTATTTTTTTAAAGACTGTTTGGGGCTGGGATTCAGCTCGGCAGCACCCTGTATCATAAGTACGGGTCATGACGTAGCTCAGGGAAGAAGCTGGACCAGGAGGGGCTCACCACTCCACCCAAGCTTCCTGCACACAGCTCCTGGCCCACACGTGCGTGTGACACAGGGCCGGTGCAGGGCAGCTCCTATGCACCATGCACTAAACTGTGGAGACCCAGGGCGGAGCACAGCGCCGAGGTGTGCAGGGGTACAGGAAGCCCTGGGTTCAAGCTCCAGCACCAAGGACTGAAACTGACCCGGAGGCTAGGTAATGGCTACAGCATGTGCACATGGCAGGATGCACACTCACACTTGCACACTTACACTCACTGACCTCTTAGGCACCAACATAAACGACCTCCAACTTTTTAAAAAATTAATTTATATGGGGCTGGGGATTTAGCTCAGCGGCACAAGCCCCTGCTTTGCAAGCAGGCAGTCGTGAGTTCGATCCCCGGTACCAATAAAAAAGAAAAAGACAAAAAAAATTTAAAAATTAATTTATGAAAAAAAATTAATTTATGTGATGCGGGGTTCGAAACACAGGGTATCCCTGACCTACTCACCAGTCCACTGAGATTTATTTTCAACTGATGATTAGTATTTCTGTGTATTACAGGACACAGTGTGACACTGATCGGCACCTACACTGCAGTCAGTCAAGCTAATCAGCACAGCTGGCCCCTCCCCACCTTGTCAATTTTATTTTCAGGTCAGATGGGTAATGTGCCGATGTCGTATCAAGGTTCAAAGGAGGCACATGTCATGCATGGAGCACGAACACCCAATCGTCACGCTTATGAACCTGAAGATTCACCTTGTCAATTTTTTGTGGTCGGAATGTTAAAAATTTACAGGGGAATTCTGAAATATGTGTTACTAAGAATGGTGGTCACTACAAAGCTCAACTGAAATGCATTCCTCCAGGCTGGACACTCTGTTGCACGCTGTAATCCTAGTGATCTGGGAGGCTGAGGCAGGAGGACCTACAACTCAAGCACAGCCTGGGCTGTTTAGTGTCTTAGTGACATCCGGGCTCAAAATAAAAATAAAAAACAGAAAGAGGCTGGGCATGTATCTCAGTGCCAAGCCCCTGGGTTCCATCCCTGGTACCACAAAATCAAATTAGATTCATTCCTGCAGTGACCCTTTGTATGCCTTGACCCTCCCTCCCCAGCCTCAGGGCACAGGCTTTCCTTCCACTCAGTTTCGGTTATTTTAGATCCCGCGTGTTAGTGCAAGTCTGCAGCCTTGGTCTTTTTGGGGGTGAGGGACTTCTTTCCCTTAGCGTGACATCCCCCGGTTCCAGCCGAGGGATGGGATTCCCTTCTGTCCACGGCGTCTAGCATGCACTGTGTGTACGTAACAATTTTCTTTATCCTCCATGTCCTCCATTCATGGACATTCAGGGTGCACATAAATCTTGGCTAGTGTGAATAATGCTGAAATAAATGTGAATGCAGGTATCTCTCTAATAATCTAAATTCTTTTGGACATGTACCCAGAAGTAGGCCTGCAAGACCATATAGTAGTTCTGATACTTTCCAAGATTTTTTTTTTTTTTGAGACAAGATCTCTTTTTTTTTTTTTTTTTTTTTTTTTTTTGTGCATTCAGGCTGGCTTTGAACTCACTATGTAGTCCACGCTGGCCTCAAATTGGCAATGATCCTGCATCAGCCTCCCAAGTGCTGGGATCACAGGCGTGTGCCACCATGCCTGGCCAAGATATTTTAGTAAGTAGTAACAAAAACAAGCAATACCCAGGCATGGTGGTACACACCTGTGATCCCAACACTCGGGAGACTGAGGCAGGAGGATCAGGCCAGCCTGAGCTACACAGTGAGACCCTGTTTCAAAAGTATCAATTGACAAAGAAAAACAAGCTAAAAATCCTGCCTCCATGGTATGCTGCTGTCTACAGCACTCGAAAGCTGGTGGACAGCGGGTTTTGTCTACTTGAAATGTTCACACAAAATGTGCCCGGGTGCTCAATCGCTGTGTGCGCGCCTCGCTGAGGCCTGAACTCTGGGCAGCAGCTGTCAGTGGCCTGGCTGTGGACGCCGCGTCAGGTGCTTCTCCTGGCGAGGCTGACGGAGCAGCACAGGGCAGGGCCCCGGGCCCCCTCGCCATCCTGGGAGAGGAGGCTGGAGCCAGAGCCCAGGGCAGGCAGGGCTACACCTGGACTTGGCCATCTGGCTACAAGTGGACAGGTGGAAAGTGAACGGGGGCCCACTGAGTGGCCCCATGAGTGAGGGGTGCCTGGGTAGCCAAGGCCACAGCCTGCGGCTCCCGAGCCAGTGGAAGCAGTCCCTTGGGGTAGGGCACGGCCCCAGCCCACAGCCACTGACTTCTGACAGGTGGGCGGCCCTCTGGTGGCCCCCCAGGTCACCCTAGCTTCCCCCCGATAGAGGAGCAAACGGGAGCTTCCCGTCCTCTCAGGAAAGGACACCGATGCCAGCAAGAGGCAGCAAGGAGGCCCTGGCTGAAGACAGGGGCCACGGCAGAGTGCCCACCCTCAAGCCCAGCCTCACCCGTCACTCCTGGGGACTCAGCAGCGCTAGAACAAATGCATAATCACCGCCATCTAAAGTCTGTCTGCCCTGAGATATTTGGGGATGAAAAATTGCAACGTCTAGAATTTGCTTAAAATAACCAGACAGCCAGGGTCCACTGAGCGCCAGAGCGGGGACTCAGTGTGTACAGGGCCCCCAGTTCCAGCCCGGCCCCCGAGGTTAAGTGACCCACCGCGTCTGGCTGCCAGGAGCTGCCAGAAAACGGTGCCCAGGAGAATCCAAGCTCATTGTATTGAATAGATTCCTTTCTTTGTAGTTTTTTTTTTTTTCATCCATTTGAAATTTATTTAGTGTGAAGTACAGATTAGACTGCATGGTCTCCCCCGCCCAATACTAACAAAAGTTCTTATTTTTAACCTTCACAAAGGTTGATGATGTTTCTCCAGATATTCCTCCACATTCAGAGCACAGCCTGCGGCCCAGTGGATCTGGCTTGTTGACATCTGGTACCAGGCATAATGGTCATTTTTTGCACTGCTAGGGATGGAATCCAGGGCCTTCTGCACAGCAGGCCAGGGCTCCAAGCCACCGCCCACTGTAACAGCACCCTTTTATTCTTAAACTTGTCTAACTTACTTTTTTTCCAAATCCATTTTATTTGAAGAATAAAAAGAAGGAAAAAACTACAAAAAAATTTCAAAACATCAACCTTTTTTCTTTTGACAGGGTCTGTGTAGTTCAGGCGGCCTCCAACTCATGGTAACCTCCTGTCTCAGCCTCCTGAGTGCTGGGATTACAGTGCAGCACCACATCTGGCCATTTCTTTCTTTTTAAAGTACGATTTATTTTAAATTATACTTAACATAAAACTTACCGTCTTAACCATGTATGAGGTATGTGTGTGTGTGTGTGTCTGGCACTGGGAATTGAACTCGGGGCCCTCACACTGCCCAAGCTGTAACCAGCACTTCTATTTTTTAATTTATTTCAAGTTGTTGCCCTCCTGACAACATCCCTAAATTGTCCAGGGTGAGCTCAAACCTGCACCCCTCCTGCCTCAGCCTCTCACGCTGCTGGGATTACAGCCACGTACCACCTTGCCAGCCCATTTTAACCATCTGAAAACACACTGTCACGTTGAGCACTTTCACACTGCAATGCGAGCAATTGGCAAGCTTCTTCCATCCTGTCTCCCCCACCCCAGAACCCCGATCCTCACCCCAACCTAGCCCAGGTCATAACCCACTGCGCAGGAGGACTGGGGCAGAAGAGCCCATCCTCCGGGAAGGGCGGCTCATTTGGGAGCTGTCTGTGGCTGCTCAGGTTCTGGCGACTCAGGAGTGGTCAGCCAGGCCACCAGGACTTCTGGGTGGTTCTCGGCTGCAATCCTGGCAGACGCTTGCAGTCTGAGCTCTCCGCCCTGAGGCAGGCACTTAGGCAAGTCCTGGCAGCACCCTGCTCCTGCCTGGGGTGCCTAGGTCACAGCCGGGAGGGGGTGGAGAAGGAAGGCTGCTCCCCAGCTCTGATGACTCAAGGTGGGCAGTCCAGGGCCTAGAGGCCACTTTCCTGGGGATGTGAGGACCAGGGGCTGTGGGTCAGCGGCCACCACTGACTTGCAGGTGCCCAGCCAGACACATCAGGCAGCTGGTCAGGCCTGAAATCCTCCGACGCCTTCTCTCCAGTGCCACCCAGTTCCTCTCCCTCAGGCTGAGGCTGGTCCCACTCCAGGAGGACAGAGAGGACTGGAGGACTGACCCGGTGACGGGCAGGCAGGAGCGGGGCGGGGACACAGCTGCGGAGCCCTGCACCATGCCAGTCCCTTTCCTCGTCATGCCATTGATCCTCCCGATGACTGTCCTGTTTTACTAACCTGAGAACCGGGGTGAGGAAAGGTCACCAGGAAGGAGCGAGCCTAGAGATTCAGGGTAAGCGGCTTTTATTTTCCTACTGCTGGTGAAATGCAGCCATGGAGAGGTTTGGGCAGACGGTGGGTTGGGGGAGCATGGCCGGATGTCAGCCCTGGAAGGGGTGCGGGATAAGGACAGCTGGCTGCCCGCTACACTCCAGGCTTCCCTGGCTGTTCTGGCGTGGAAGTGGTGAACAGGGAAGGCCTCGGGTAACTGTGCAGTGTGCCGGGTCCTGCACGATGCGACACCCTGTGAAAGGCTGGGTGATTTGAGCTACACAGAGACACAGGGCTGGGGGCTCTGGGAAGAGAAGCAGTGATCTGGTGGTGTTGGGGGACAGAAGGCAGATGGTGGGGAAAGGCTGGCTTGTCAGGCAGAATGAAAGCTGCTCGGGTGGTGAGTGCCCCAAGTCAAAGCAACCAGCACAGCGAAGTGGCATACTTGGGATGGCCCCTGTGAGGCTCTGGGGCCATGTGGACATGGATGGAGCTCCAGCCTGCATGTGTTCAGGTCTGATCACCTTCTAGGGGACAGGTGACCAGAAACGAGGACCCACAGTGACCATGGCCACTGCAGGGAGGGAAAGAGGTGCCATGGCAGTGCTGGGGCAGCTAATTTGCTCTGAAGGTCAGAAGAGCAACCCTGGATTCCAACAGTGGAGTGGGTCCTGCCATGACCCGCCACTTACAGGGAGGACAGAGATGGCAGTGCCCAGGTCAGTGCTGGAGGCGGTGCTGGCTGAGCTGAAGGAGTTGCAGGACCAGTCGCAGGACCAGGACGCCAGCTGTCAGGCAGCGGGGAGCAGTGGGGACACAGCGCCAGGGCTAGAAGGCTCCCCCTGGGGTCTGGGACAAGTGGACGGCAGGGAGCATAGGGAGGTTTCAGTAGTTAGGAAGAAAGGTGAGGAGCCAGAGGAAGCAGCCGGCGAGGTGGGGAAATTCCTCCTGTCCTGGGTGCCCGAGACTACATGGCTCTGGCCCCATGTGGGTAGCAGGAGTCCACCCATTCCCTGGACCAAGGAGACAGCCCCTTCACAACCTTGGAGACATGCTTTGTCTCCTTCCTGTTGGCTTGTTTTTTGAGACAGGATCGAGATTAGCTCAAAGCCCAACAATCCTCCTGCCTCAGCCTCTCAAGGGCTGGGATTACAGTGGTACCCAGCTCTCCCCGGGAACTTCCTGCTGAGACAGTCAGCTCTTCCAGAGCAGGCAGAGTCTCCTTCCTCCAGACCACCACTGCCCCAGCTGTCCCCCACCCATCTCTCTTCCCTGAGGCCCCTTCACCCAGCCCCCCTCCTTGACCCCCACACCACACAGGGCTGAACCCTCCCCAAAACCAGCTGGGTGTCGATGCCCCCAACACCTCTAGGATCCAGGTCCATCCGGGTCTCCTCCACACACCACCCCCGCTCTAACCTACCCCGACCACCAGGCTCGGGACCAGAAAGCCCGTCTTCCCCTGGACACGGCCTCAGCCCCTGCTGGCACGCACCTGCCTCACATCTCCCTCGCGCCATCTGACCAGTACAATTCAGGGGCACTTAGCATACCCACAGTCAGGCGCCCACCTCTCGGGTCAGGGAAATTTTTCTATTCTAAGATGAAACCCGTACCCATTAAGCGATGACTCCTCATTTCTCCCTCCCCACAGCCAGAGCACTAACCTGTCTTCTCTATGGTTGTACCTATTTCATGTGTGGAGTTAACCACCTGTGACCTTTTGTGTCTGGCGTCTTGCACTTGGCATTAGTTCTGGAGGTTTGTACCTGTGGTAGTACGATTCTGCCCTCGATTCCTCTCCGTGGCTGAGTAATATTCCACCAGATGGATCTGTCTAACCATTCATCAGTTGGACATTTCCGGCCCGTTTCCACCTTTTGGCTCTTAAGCGTCTCTCTGAGCACCTGATTTCAGTTCTGGGTATATACCTAGGGGTAGGATTGCTAGATCATACCAGAACTCCTAGTTTAACTTTTTGGGGGAGAAACGGAAGTTTAACTTCTGGGATGTGAACACCTCTGGGCAGCTCTCGGTTTTCATCTCTGCCCCGGTTCACACCGGCCTGAACATCGCTGTCGGGCCCTGTCACCAGCTAGAGACGCGGAGTGCACCTCTTCACTCCTCCGAGCCCTACCTCGGCTCGGCCTGGAGAGGGGAAGCGCTTACCTGCGGGAGGCGGCGGCAGGCGGGGCGGGCGGCCGCGCCTCTCCCGAGCTGCGCGCTGTGCCGGGCGGGCGGAGGCGGGCGCGGGCGCGGGCGCGGGCCCGGGGCGCAGCGGGCGGGTACCCGGGGGCGCCCCGCCCCGGCCTGCCCCGCCCCCACATCCGGGGGCCGCGCTCCGGCGCGCGCGGCTGAGTCAGGCCGGGTTTTCCCTCCGCCCCCGGGGCAGGGGCGCCGCGCCGCCGGCCTCCCTCCCTCCCTCCCTCCCGCCCTGCCTCGCCAATCCGGCTCGGTGCCCGCCGCCGCCCGCGTTTTCCGGGCGCCTGCAGCTCCGCCGCCCGGCGCGGCGCGCAGTCTCGGCGGAGGGCGCCGCGGAGAGGGTTCGAGTCCGCGCGGGAGCCGCGGCGCCGGCAGCATGGTGAGCGCGGGCGCGGGCGAGGTCGCTCCCCGGCCCGGCCCCGGCCCCGGCGAGGGAGCTGCGCCCCGGGTCCCCGCGCCGCGGCCGGGCGGGGCCGCCGCCCTTGTTCCCCGAGGCTGACCTCGGCCCCCAGCCCTGTCCGGCGGCTCCTGGCGGGTCCCCGCAAGGAAGGGGGGGTCCCCTGGTAGGGCCCGAGAGAAGCGCGTCCGCGCCACGGCCCCCGCCCCAGAGAGCACGAGCACCTCTCACAGTTCTGGAACCCCCGGCCCAGGGGTGAATCCGTGGGCGTGCGCCCACCCTCGCCCCGGGTACCCCTTCCTGCTGCAGCCCCCGCCGCCCCCAGGATGCAGGTGAGGACCTGAGGCAGAGTTCTCCCGAGGTCTGCTTAGCTGGAACACGGTGTTTGGCCACCATGGGGGCCAGGTGGGCGTCAGTGCCCGGCTGTATTGGGAAGGAGGACAGGGTCACTCCTGCCTCGCCCCGCGCCACAGGAACGGACTGTCTGGCCGGCCGAGGCAGGAGGCCACCCCGGGCCAGTACCAGCCTCCTCCCGGGCAGGGCACCCCAGCCCACTGGTGCGTGTGGGTGTGTATGTGCGAGACTGAGAGCGTCGCCGGCCCGCGCTGCCACCACCTTGACAGACTCCCGGGCTCACAGTCTCCACGGCAGCCGGGGTCTGCTGTCCGTTTCGGAACCTTGGGGCAGGCCGGAGGGCTTCAAGCCAAGGAGACATGACCAGATCAGGTTGGCTGCAGAAGCCCTTAGGACAGGGCGCCACAAGCTGGACAAGGTGACCCCTGGTGAGGCCAGAACCATACACAGCGTCTGGACCCCCGCAGTGGGGACTTGGACTGCTCTCTCCCTCTGGCCTCAGTCTCTTACCTGTAAAATGGAAACAATCCTTACTGCCCTGCCTGCCTGGCTGGCTGCTGTGGAGGTGATACAGAATGTGAAGCGGGGTTCGATGCAGTGGGAATGACCGAGGGGTGGCACCAGGAGCCGCTCCCGAAGCAGGTGACATAGAGGGGTTAGGAAACTCCAGTGGCTCCTTTCCCGGCCGGCCACCCACTCCCCCTCTTTGGGAGCTGGGACATTCCAGGCTCATTCCTGGGGCAGCTGCAGACACACCCCAGCGGGGCTGATCCTCCAGCAGGTGCTGGACCCTCTTGGGGGCCAAGACTGGAGAGCTGCTAACTGCCACTAAGGCCTGCAGGATATGCCCACGTGGGGCGGGGTGTCCCACCCCAGTGGAGATAGGGTGGGGTCAGGGGTGGGTCCTGAGCCTGGGGTGCCTGTACACTTTCTGGAGCTACGGACATGGCCCTAGGCTTAGGCTCTCTCCTCCTGGGCCTCAGTCTCCTCCTCTGGCTTCTCCTGTACATGTGTTTGAGGGCAGAAGTGGGTGTCCCTCCCTGTGCCGCGTTGTCTCCACTAAGATGGGGCCATGAGGGATGCTTCTGTGAGCTCAGGCTAATCTTGGTGGGGAGGGGGAAGTGGAGGAACAGGATAGAGAGCCCTGCTGGGTTTTCAGCTCACAAGAGCTCTGGACCAGGACAGGCACCTGCCATGGGCACAGAGTCCCAGCGCTTGGCCCTGGGAAGAGCCTCTACTCTGCCCTGCCGTCCTGTTCTGCAGTCCTGGGGAGGCTGCCTGGCACTTGTTTCTCTCCTGCATTCTCCCTCCCCAAATCCTCTCCACCGCAGCCTGCACAGCTGCCTGGCCTGAGCTGGAGCTACAGGGCTTCTGAGCAAGGGCAGGAAGGAATGTATGTATGCACTGGGGGAGGGGTTCCTCAGGAAGAGGGATTGTCTGTTCCAGACTGAGCCCTGGACCTCAGGGGCCTCAGCCCTGCTGCCGGGGCCATTACTTAGGGCGCTAGGTGACCTTGTGCCTGACTGCATGGCTGGCTGGCTGTGTTCGACATGACTGTCCTCGCCGTGTCCTCTAAGATAGGTTTCTCTGTGCTACCAGGTGAGGCGTACATGTGACAGGCACTGTTGTCCGTGTGTGGCCCTACACGGTGCTGTGGCCCCGAGACACTTGCTAGGAAAGAAAGGGGGTCACAGATCTTTTCTCCAGAGGCCAAAAGTGAGCACCTGGCCAGGGGAAAGGACGGAACAGCTCACAAAGACCTCTCGCCCCTCCTGGTCTCTGTGACTTTCACCTCGGCCTTTCACAGAAGGTGGAGCAAGAGAGGAAACTGAGGCAGGGCAAAAGGATGTGTGTTCCTGCCTGGAGGAGAGGGGCCTGGCTGAAGGCCAGGCCCTCCGCTGTCCCCTCTCCAACAAGCAGTGACGGCGGCGCACTTTCAGACAGTGCTGCCTCCCTGGTGGGCTTGTTGTAGCAGCAGGTGTCAGGAAGCAGGCAGGATAACTCCATCCAGGCTTCCCCAAAGACATTTGGTAGCCGTGATGTAGGATCATTGGCATCCTTACCTAGAGTAGCGTTGTGACCTTGGGCACATCACTTCACCTGTTCTGAGCCCCAGGAACCTTTAAAAGGCAGAAGTAACCATGTGATAGGACTCAGCGTGACCCCCAGAAAGTGCTGCCTTGCTGTGGAGCCTTCCTAAATAAGTCCCCAAGCTGCGTGATCTGTGGTGACCCCAGCAGGGTGTGATTCTGTTCACATGGGGGTGGGAGGCCTTGGGCTGGCTCAGATGCCGCCCTTCTGGGTCTAAGGCTGGATAGGGCAGGCTAAGGTGGTTACTTTTGCCTGGGGTGTGGTTAAGAGCTATAGTGTGGGTAGGGGACAGGGTCCTCCCTCCCTTGTTCTCCCTGAGAGCATTGTCTTTGACAAACACAAAACCTGGAAATGGGTAAAGAAGATGGAGCCTCCTAAGGACCATTGTCTGGAGTGGAGAGGAGCGGGTGTCTGGGAAACCCACGGGGGGCGTTGCTGCTGGAGCGGTCTGCCAGCCATCTGTTGGGCGAGGGAGCAGCTGGATGAGTAGGAGGTGGGAAGGTGGCATCCTTGCAGGTCCTTTGCACCCACCGTGTGCAGGGCACTGGGCTGGGCACGTGTTCCAGCAGTGCCCTCCAGAGCGTTGGGCCAGCCCAGGTGGAGACAGCAGGTGACGAGGCTCAGCTTCAGCCAAGATGCTGATCCTGGCCTGTAGGCCAGGCCGGGCACTTGGCTCGATATCTCATCCCACCCTCCCAGCATCCCTGGGTGGGAAGAGCTATCTTTGCCATTGTCCAAGAAGAAACCATGAGCCTGGGACTAAGGCCAGGGTCACACAGCACTGGGCTGTCCCAGCCAGGTCGCGCCTGGTGTGTGACAGCAGCAGCAAGCCAGGCCAGCAGAGGCCCTACTGACCCTGCCCTCTGCCTCCATGCTGCTCGGCCCTGAACACCTGTTCCGGAAGCCGTGGCCATTGTTTCCCTTGCGCCCTTCCTGTTTGTAAGGCCATCCTTCCTCCGGTGGGCCCTTCCCATTTGCATTGCTCCCAGGAGCCCTGCCCCACCCACACCAGATGTTTCCCTGGGGGAGCTCTGAGCCTCAGCAGGAAAAGGGGCTCTGCCGGTTATCTAGGGAAGAAAGAATAGCGACCCTCAGGTCCTCGATTTCTGAGCTTCCTCCCCACCTGCAAATTTAGTGGGATCCTGGCAGGAGAGTGACCACGGTCAGGGTCAGGCAGAGTTTGAAGCTGTCCTCTTTGCTCTTGGCTGACCCAGTTCCAGGAGGCAGGCTGGGTTCTGGGAATCAGGCCCAGTTCCGGGAGTCAGGCCCTGTTCAAGGAGGCAGGCCTGGTTCCGGGAGCCAGGCTCCTGTGTTACTGGGTAAGGACCCACCCCTCTCCACTGAGCCCACATGCCCCTGGCTGGAGGTGACTCCTTGTCGCAGCTGATGCTGTGTCCTCCTCCTTAGACTTAGCCCAGCAGACATCCGGTGGGTGAGCGGGTGGCTTTGGAACCGTTAGCCCTTCTTTCCCAGCTAGGAATTCTTCCTGCGAGTCTTTCTGGTGCCCACCCATATCTGTCTCATGGGCCTCATCGTGTACACAAGCTAACAGACCACAAGTGTCAGATAGGGGGCCTTGAGCTGGGCAGCTAATGGGTTCCCCTACTGTCCCCTAATGGGTCCTCTCAATTCCCAGAGGCCGCTGCCTGTGCCCTGCTGAAACTTCATGGCCACAGCGCCAGGCCCTGTTGGCATTGCCATGGGCAGCGTGGGCAGCCTATTGGAGCGGCAGGACTTCTCCCCTGAAGAACTTCGGGCGGCCCTCGCCGGGTCCCATGGCTCCCGCCAGCCCGATGGGCTCCTCCGGAAAGGCTTAGGCCAGCGAGAGCTCCTCAGCTACCTGCATCTCCCCAAGAAGGACGGGAAGGCCACCAAGCGGGCACCCCGGAACGAGCCCGCCGACTATACCCCTCTCTACTATCGGGAACACCCTCGTGCTGGGGACTTCAGCAAGACCTCACTGCCTGAGCGGGGTCGGTTTGACAAGGTATGGCTCTACACATGCCCCTTATGTGATGAGTGATGCCGGGGTCACCCTGGAGATGCCCATGCTGGGATGGGGTGAGGACCAGACAAGCTACCTGGGAGCCCTGCCCTGCGTCCTCAGAGGATCCCCCAGGGCTGCAGGAGCATTGGCAGGGTAAGCAGTGTCCAGCCCGCAGTCTCACATCTGTTCTCTGTTCCTGGCAGTGCCGCATCCGACCGTCAGTCTTCAAGCCTGCAGGAGTCTCTGGGAAAGGCTTTCTGTCTATGCAAAGCCTGGCAGCCCACAAGGGCCAGAAGCTGTGGCGTAGCAATGGCAGTCTGCACACGCTGGCCTGCCACCCACCCCTGAGTCCAGGGCCCCGGGCCAGCCAGGCCCGAGCACAGTTGCTGCATGCCCTCAGCCTGGACGAGGGGGGGCCTGAGCCCGAGCCCAGCCTCTCTGACTCCTCCAGTGGGGGTAGCTTTGGCCGCAGCTCTGGTACTGGGCCTGGCCCCTTCAGCTCTTCCCTCGGCCACATTAACCACCTAGGGGGTTCCCTGGACCGGGCACCAAGGAGCCCCAAGGAGGCTGGGCCCCTGGCGCTGCTGAGTTGCCTGCCTGAGCCGCCCCCACCCTATGAGCTGTCCTGCCCCACTGCTGAGGAGGTGGTGGCCATGCTGCCGGAGACCTGTGAAGTGCTCAAGAGAGACCTGGGTGACCCGGACAGTGCCAACACTTTCACACAGGTGAGCGCTCCCCGCTCACGCATATGGCCCCATGCTAAGAAAGTAGGCCTGGAGGCAGCCCAGGTCCCACCTGCAGAGATGTCACGTCACTAGGCCACACTTGGACTGGCGTGGTGAGGAGGCTTTTGGACTGGCACATGTCTGGAGACATCCCAACTTGGGGTGCATGCATGGTGGAGGGAATGGGCCCTGGGCACTGTAGTTTGGACGCCAAGATGTTAGTGTTGTCTGGAGTGTCCGGCTGAGGCACTGGGGACGCAGGCAGGTTGCACGGGGGCCATGGGTGTTCAGTCCGGGTGTGACCTCTTCTGCGCAGGTGCTGGAGGAGCGCCAGAGGCTGTGGCTGTCCGAGCTGAAGCGCTTGTATGTAGAGCGGCTGCACGAGGTGGCGCAGAAGGCAGAGCGCACTGAGCGCAACCTCCAGCTGCAGCTATTCATGGCCCAGCAGGAGCAGCGGCGCCTGCGCAAGGAGCTTCGGGCTCAGCAGGGCCTGGGCCCCACCGAGCGGCCCCCTGGGTGCCTGCCAGAGGCCGACCCCAGCACCCGACAGGAAGAAGAGGCCCGATGGGAGGTGAGCGCCCGGCAGAGGCCCGTACACCACCCTGTCCCTGCCCCACCCTCCACCTCCCTCCCCACAGCCAGCTCTGCATAGCGCAGCTTCACCCCAGTCCTGCTCCCCCAGGTGTGCCAGAAGACGGCGGAGATTAGTCTGTTGAAGCAGCAGCTGCGGGAGGCCCAGGCCGAGCTGGCGCAGAAGCTGGCTGAAATCTTCAACCTGAAGACACAGCTCCGCGGCAGCCGGGCTCAAGCCCAGGCCCAGGACGTGGAGCTGGCCCGGTTGCGTGAGGCCATGCGCAGCCTGCAGGAGCAGGCCCCTCGGGAGGAAGCCCCGGGCAGCTGTGAGACCGATGACTGCAAGAGCCGGGGACTGCGGGGGGAGCCCGGAGGCAGTGAGAGCGGGGAAGGCGCCGAGCAGTTGCGGGCAGAGCTGCTGCAAGAGCGGCTTCGGGGCCAGGAACAGGCGCTGCGCTTCGAGCAGGAGAGGCGGACTTGGCAGGAGGAGAAGGAGCGGGTGCTGCGCTACCAGCGGGAGATCCAGGGGGGCTATCTGGACATGTACCGCCGCAACCAGGCTCTGGAACAGGAGCTGCGGGCACTGCGGGAGCCCCCAGCACCCTGGAGCCCTCGGCTGGAGTCCTCCAATATCTGAGGCCAGGAGAGCAAGCTGACAGCAGACACTGTCGAGATGCCCAGAGAGGGCTGGTTCTGTCCTGCCACTGGTGGGACAGAAGCCTGCCCAGCGGTGGGGCCTGCAAGAGAAGGGCTGGATGGGGTGCTGGCTGCAGGAGCCAGGGCACAGCGCTTCTTCCTGCAGTGGGTGTGTCCCAGGCAGGAGAATGGAGAATGCAGAGCCCCACCATTCAGAAGGGCAGGTGAAATTGGGAGGCTTCAGACCCAGGCCGAGGCCTGGAAGGAGCTGAGACAGGAGCACTGGCCTCCTGCAGAATAAAGCACATTTTCTATGAGGAGGCCCCTGGGGGCGTGTCAGGCCTATCCCTGCCCGGGTCCAGTGGGTTGTGAGGGCTAGGGCTAGGGCTGGGCTGGGGCCAAGGTGGTTCCGAGTTTGTTCCCCGTGCCTGTGTGTGCAGCTGCTGGTCTCCCGTGCTGGAGAATGGGAGCATCTCAGGCCTGGCTCCAGCACTGCACAGCGCCTCTGCTTCCGCGTGGGCTGGTTTCCTTTTTACAGCACCAGAGGATTTTTCAAAGGGAACAGGACCAGTGAACTCCAGGAAAACAAAAGGGCAAGTCAACTACAGTGTTTCAAGAATATGGAATGTTCTTTGGTGGCAAGTCTGGCCCTGGGTGCCTGAGCCGCTGCTGGGCTTGGGGCCCTCCCAAGGCAGCCGCCTGCCTTCCAAGCACCCACCTCCCACTCTCTGCTGCAGTGTACCCCTCCTTCCATGGGGGCGGGGGCTCAGGAAGGTGCCAGCACTTGGCATCATTTGGGAAAGAATCTTTACCAGAGCTAGGCAGGAGACATCCCTCTGTAAGCAGAGGTTTCCTTGGCTAGGGGGCTGGGGTATCTACACAAGGGTGAGGTGGCACCTGATTTGTACAGGGGAATGCTCTGGCCTCGGAAGAAGCGGTCTCTCCCTTCCCTGCATCTGGCCTCAGAACTGTCAGTCATGTTTGACACCTGCTCTCAGCTAAGGCTGTTCCCAGGTCCTGTGAAGCTCACAGCCACCGCTGACCTCAGTAGTTTGGCTTCTCCTCCAGGGCGGGTGACCTGGTGCAAGGAACATATCCTTTGCACGTTGAGAGAAAGGCATTTCCCTTCCGGAGCCTCAGAGATGGCTGTCACGTGCCCAGCACTAACTACATGGGACCCTTGGGAGTTGAGGCACAGGTGAGATGCAGGTCCTTCCTGCCCTGGGGATCAGTTCATAGCCATCTGCCCCTCTAGTCCCTTGCCAGGGCTTCTAAGGGAGACTTCCAAGGGGCCCCAGGCGGCTTCCACTGGGGTCTCTCAGGACTCCCAGGCCACACTCGGTGCCCTCAGGTCTGGTGGCTGCATCCTGGTCATGGAGCATGTGCTGGGGTGTGTGGCTGCTTATGGGCTGTGGCTCAGAAGCTGCTGGACCCCACCTGTTTTAGGGTGGAGAGGGGTGTGTGAGTTGTCTGCCAAGGGATGCTGTGTTTACGGCCCTGTGAGTGGCAGGTGTGCTTGTGGGTGGTGGGTGTGTCCGAGGGGGTGTGTTTGGGGCACCCGCTTTCAAAAGCTGGTTCCTGTGTGGAGGCAGGAAGGCTGCTTCCGATGCCTCCCTCTGCCCCAGGCCTTCTGCAGCTCCCGTCCCTCTGGACTGCCAACTCTGGGTCCTGTGCCCTGGACACAGTCTTGGGCCTAGGGGAGACCTGACTGAGCCCACACCTGAGCTCTAATCTGCTAGGAAGAGCCTTCGTTAGGCAGGCCAGCCCCCCACCTGCACACACACCTTGATACCTTCTGTTTCCCAGACCTGTCTGGACTGCTGGGTCCCCAGAGACCCTCCTCCTGGAGCCAGGTGTTGGCCTAAGGCCTAGATCACTACCTCCCCACAGGCAGGGGCTGGTCTGCTGGGTGTCCATATTCCCAAGTGTAGCTGTCCCCCCATCCCAGCTCTGTGGAGTAACTCCCCACCCGGCAATTAGAGAGCTGGGCCGGCCAGTACAGCCAGTGGGGAGTGGGTGGGCGGTACCAAAACTTGGCAGCTATGCCAGAAACCCAGGCCAGGCCCAGAGGTAGGGGGAGGGCATGGGGCGTCTTGGAGAATCATGCCAGGCAAACCAGTTCCCTGGTCCCCAAGCAGGCTGGGTGGCTCTGGGGCCAGCAGATCACAGGTGCCCCTGTCACTGTGGATCATGTCACTGCTGGGCTGCTGTGGAGAAGCCCTTCCCTCCTGCCCCTGCCGGGCCTCTCACTGCTCTGAGGCCAGCCTCGCCCAGCACACCTGAACCTGAATCCACTCGGGCTAGCCATGTGGCTAGCCCTGCATGTCTCTGGCCTCTGGGCCTGCTTGCCCAGCATTACCTTCCAGCAGCTCATGAGCCCCTTTGCCTGTCACTAGAGGCCTCTGACTGTGGTCTGCAGGGTCACTGACAGCAGTCTCCTCCCACTTTGGTGAGCTCAGCAGCCCCTGACAGCTCTCCTACCCTGTGTGTGAATGTGTGTGTGTGGGGGGGGGCAAGGCACTGACCTCCAGCCCCCTGGCAGATAAAAGGGTGGGGTGATAGCTGGACAGAGAAAGCAGCTGTGGCCTTCAGCCTGGGCCCTGTATCCCTGTCCCACTGAAGGCAGGCAGTGCTCAGCTCTTGTGTTGTAAGGGAAACCACCTGCTTTGGTTACTTTTCTCTCCTGGCTGGGACAAAATACCTGACAACCAAAATTAAGGGAGGAGAGGTTTCAGTCCATAGGTGGTAGAAGACAGCAAAAGCAGGAAGAGCAAAAGGGGAGGGGGAGTGGGCACAAAAGGACAGAAGCCAGGGCCAACACATGACCTGACATATATAAATCTAGTGTCATGTTCTTTTGTCATCAGTGTAAAACTTTTTTGTGGGGGGCAGGATGGTGGTACTAGGCTCAAACTTGAAGTGCTTGGCTATATCCCAAGCCCTTTTTATTTTTTTTGTCTTTTTCCTTTTTATTGGTACCAGGGATGGAACTCATGTCTGCCTGCTTACAAGGCAGGCGGCTTATGCTAAATCCCCAGCCCCCACCCTTTTTATTTTTAAAATAAGGTCTCAGTTGTACAAACTGGCCTCAAGCTCGAGGTCCTCCTGTGTAAGTGGGATTACAGGCATGTACCACATGCCCACCTGTCTTGAATTTAGTAGGAGTGTTCTAACAAGGGCCCTCACATTTTCCTTTTGCTCTGCACCTGCAAATTAACTGGGTGGTTCCAGTTTGAACTAAAGACTCACATAAGCAGAGACAAAACGGAGAGGACCCAGGACGCTGACTTGGAGCCACTAGCGCTACAATGGGGCCTGGAGCTGCCCTGGAAAGCAGCAGACCTGGGGCTGGCCCGGTGCTCCTGGATTCTGCAGAAGAGAGCAGTGCCCTGCATCACATACTATACAGCCAGCACCACGATCACAGATGGTTCACCTTCTAGGTCTGTCCTGCAGGACCCACCAAGAGGCAAGGAAGCCTACACTTCCAAGAGGGCCCTTGACCCTGAAGAGCTCATCCTCTATGCAAGACCTGTTATTGTGTTCCTGTGTGTTTGTTCTTCATCCTTCGTGTGTGTTGTCCACTCCTCCACTTAATACACACGTGTACACGCACATGTACACGCACATATGTGTACACACACACACACACACACACACACACACACGCTGCTGCCTCTGATGCTGGGCGCCTGGCATGCTAGACAGGCCCTCTAGGCTGAGCTACATTCCTCAGCCCCCACAGTGTAATTCACAAACAGGAAAACTCATTTTGATAATTTACAATTGTAATAAAAGTAAAGTTGTATAACCTGCCCTATAATTTATGAGATACAGAAGTTACCGTTACCCCCCCCAAATTCCTCTAACCCCCGTGTAGTCAGTCCCTCCCCTCTCCCAGCCCTTACCAACCACTGACTGCTTTCTGAGTAACAATAACCTTCGAGTTTTTTCTTTTCCCTCTTTGTGGGAAGTGTTTCATCTCACCTCTCTGATATGTAATGTCAGAACATACTACAAAATAGCAAGAAAAACTATATAGGACACTGGCAGAAAAGTAAATCTGTACTTCTATGGAAAACATGAAAAACCAGAAATGGATTCTACTTTGTAGGCAAAAAATAACATCGTGTTGGGAAATGAGTGGGTAAGCAAGTAATATTTAACAATACGAAATCATAAAATAAGTCATATTTGCACGAATCCAGAAATAAAACGGACACCGACCGGGGTTTCGTTTTTCTTTCTATGTGTGTACTGGGCCTCAAACCAGGGCCTTCACACTGAGCTACATCCTCAGTTCTTTTTAAATTTTGAGATAGTTTTGCTAAGTTGCTGAGGCAGGACTTGAACTTGTGATATTTTTGCCTCAGCCTCTCAGTATGTTCTGTAAAAATTTAAGAATGGAGTCCTGGGAAACTGGCAAAAAGTTCAATTATTGCCGAACTAGTGAGCTAATGAAGCGATCTGACTTTGAAACGATTCCCCACACAAAGACAACTTTATTTTCCAATGAAAATGAAATTTCATTGTCCAATGTGGTAGGACGCAGTGCACAGTGGGAAGTACCCAGGCAGGATGTGCCAACACCATGCATTGGACTGGGGAGCCGGTGACAAGGGGAAAGGCCAGGTGTGGTGTGGGCGGCCCGTGAGGGTTTCCAGACTGGTTCGGCTTTGTCTCTGCATTGGGCCAGGATTGGGGAGCAGTGGGAAGCCAGGGGTGCTCTTAAAAGCTTGTGAGGTCCTGGCGGCCGCGGCGGGGGCCCCTGGCCTCGAGCACATTCCCTGCAGCTCCTCGCCCCCGCGGCTTCCGCGTGGGGCCAAGACCACCCAGGCTCCGGGCTCCCCCAGGCGCCCTCTCCCCAGCTGCAGCCCCACCTCTGGGTACCTACTGTGTTCCGGCAGCGGGGATGCAGGCCCCATCTGGGTCCCACGGAGGGGAGGCGGGGCCAGGGCCCGAAAATCAACAAATAAACACAGGATTTCATGCCAAGGCTGTAAAGAAAGCCGAGCTGGATTGTGCAAGTGTATAAAGAAAGTAGAACAACATTGTGCAAGGGTGGAAAGTGCGGCGGGGTGATCAGGGTATAGGGAGCTGCATGCAACCCGGGGAAACTGAGCCGAGCCTCGATTTTGGGGCTGCGGTCCGCGGAGCAGCGAGGGCTTCTCTGCTTCCCTTCACAGCAAGGGGCCGAGGGGATTGCAGGCGCATCCAAGCCTCCGCCTCCTCCTCATTGTTCTCTGTCCCTCTGAAGCATACGGCGCGGCCGACCCCACCTAACTCCACCTAACTCGCAAGAGGGGTATCGTAGGGCGGCAGGGCCGGGCAAGGACCTCGCACTCGCGCGGACCCGAGCTCCCGCGGGGGTGTGCCGCGGACGAGCGGACGGGAGAGGGCCCGTCGCACCCTCCTTCTCCGCGAGCTGCGGCCCCAGGCCTCTGTACTCTGAGCCGTCTCGACGTCCAGGAGGGGCTCCAACTCGCGACCCCGCTGCCTCCGCCGCTAGGCGCCCCCAGGACCCCCGCGGCCCGAGACACTCGGCTGGCGAGCGAGGGACCGTGCGAAACCTCCCGCAGGCTGGCCGAGCGGCTCCACTCGCGACCGGCCGCGTGGGAATGGACGTCTCTTACGCTGACCGCCGACCCCAGACGCCCCTCCAACACGAGACTGCGCACGCGCACATCCAGGCCGAGGCGCCGCCGCCGCGACTTCCGGTTGTGATGAGAGCGGCGCCGGAAGCCGAGCCCAGCTGCGGGAGTCGGCGGGAGCCCGCGGGTTCGGGGCGCGGCCGGCGGGGTGAGGGGCGGGCCGCCTCCGGAGACCCCCCACCAAGCCCCCGAAGCCATTGGCCGGGGCGCTGGAGGCCCGCAGAGCGCCGCTCCGGCCGCCCCTGAAGCGCTGCCGCGGTCGCCAACCCCGACCCCCACCCTACCCCGGCCGGCCGGAGGTAACCCGGGGAGCGAGGGGCCGCGCAGGGCGTCGGAGCAGGGTCCTCTGAAGGTACATAGGAGTTTGCCAGTTAGCTTGCAAGTGGAATCTTAGCGGGGGCTGCTGCCCAGAGGAGAGGGGGGCTTTTCCTTCGCTTTTTTTTACGAGACAAGAAAGATCTGAAAGCTGAAATAGGGGTATGCAAAAGCAGCAGGCCGCGTAACAGACGAGGTGTGCGGCTTGGGCGGAGGACGGTGCCTCTGAGAAAGTGGCTTGTGTGTGGAGACCTAGTAGGAAGGGCCAAGCCCTGGGACATGGGCAAAGCGTATCCAAGCAGAGCTGGAGCAGTACAGAGGTACCGAGGCAGGAACGGACTGGACGCTGCCCGAGAACAGAAAGAAGCTAGTGTGATTAGGGTGTGAGAGCAGGGACGGAGGAGAGGATCCATCTGGCCTCCGTTTTGCAGGTTCTGGAGGGGAGTGAGTGTGGGTTTTATTCTGAGTAGAGTTGTAATCTGTTGGTTGAGCAGAGGCTTGGTAGGTGGAAGAGAAGGGCTGTGAAAGCGTAAGAATGGGGCCAGTGTTTTGCACTAACTTCCCTCTCCCAGCCCCAGGAGCCCGCTTGTCTCCAGATGCTCCAGACTGGAACGCAAAGCCCCATGCCTGCCTTGGTAGAGCCTTAATATGTACTGCATGCTCTTCCCGCCCACCCCGTGGGTTTGAGTGCAGAGGTTTAGAAATGGAGGCCCTATTTAATCAGCAGGTAGGCTCTGAGCTGGGTCCTGAAAGAGGAGGGAAGACAAGACTGATCTCCAGTCCCTCAGTGGCTCTTGTCAGTGGGAGCGGATGGGTTCTTCAGTAGGCAGTTACTGTGCTGCTTCCTCAGGGAGGACTCGGATGTGTTTGGCTCATGCACACTGGATCGGTGCATGAGGCCAGAAGAGAGGTGGGGAGATGTCATTCACGGGGACCTGGAGATTAAACCGCAGCTTATGTCCATGCAAGGAACTGTACAGGATGCTCTAGAACCCTATATCAGTGTCTTGTGAAGAGAAAGTGAATGTGTAACACAAGCAAAGGGCTTGTGTGTCAAGCAGGGGCAGTGCCACCCAGGGGTGGCAGAGCTGATCTTCGTTTTTGGTTTTGGTTTTTTGTTTTGTCTTTTTCAGTCAGGGTGTCTCTATGTAGTTCAAGCTGGCCTTGAACTTGCTATGTAGCCAAGGCTGGTCTCAAACTCACAGCAACCCTCCTGTGTCAGCCTCCCAAGTGCTGAAGTTTTAGGCATGTACCACCAAGCCAGGCTTTTCCTCACTCCCCCCCCTTTTTTGAGTTGAGCAGGGTGGCCCAGATGTGTGATCCTCTTCCCTCCGTTGACAGTGGTTGACATTACAGATGTGGACCACCATACCTGGCTCCTTTCCGCAGCACTTTGGATGGAATCCCTGTAAGCAGGTGTTTTCCCAGGTCGTTGTTCTTTCACATTTTATTCATTTTTAGCTAATGGTGGATTTACACCTGCAATTCCAGCATTTAGAAAGCTGAGGCAAGAGGATCTCTGTGAGTTGGAGGCCAGCCTGTCTCCAAAAAAATTTTTTTTTGGTGTGGTGCCAGAGGTCAGTGTCCTTATGTGTGCTAGGTGAGCGCTCTACCACTAAACGGTTATATTCCCAACCGCTTAATTTTAAATTTTTTTTATTTTTTAAGTCCTGGAGATGCAAATTAGGACCTACTCACTGGGCTACATTCTCACTCCCGAATACCCCTCTCCACCACCTATTTTTTTTTTAAATTTTGAGACAGTTTTATGAAGTTGTCCAAGTTGGGCCCAAGCTTGCTTCCCGCCTCAGCCTCGAAGAGTGCTGTCGTAACAGGCAGGCACCACCACACGTTTTATCCAGTTGATCACACTGTGTATTCAACCAACCTTAGGTCAAAAGTATGCCAAAAAGCCAGGCTGCCGCAGACCTGGCAGACCTGTAACTGTAGCACTCTTGGAGTCAGAGTCCGTACACAAGTTGAAGCCCAAACTGGGCAACCCAGTAATTTAGCAAGATCCTGTTTCAAAAAGAAAAGAACCAGCTGGGTGTGGTAGCTACACCTGCAATCCCAGCATTTGGGAGGCTGAGAAAGGAGCATTGTTGCAAATTTGAGACCAGCCTGGGCTACAAAGTGAGCTCAGTGCTGTCCTGAAATGCATGGCAAGACGCTCTCTGAAAGAGACCCAAAAAAAGAAAGAAAAGAAAAATGAAAAAGAAGTAGGCTGGGAAGGCAGCTAGTGTAAAGGCTCTGGGTTCAATCCTCAGTATTGAAAAAAAATTGTATAGAAGAGGGCCTGGGGTGTAGCTCAGTGGTAACCCACGTGCTTAGCATGCCTGAGGCCCAGGGTTGGTCCCCAGCACCAAAACACCCCTAACACTAAATTTTTTAAAAATCTCAATAAAGGAAGATGTGTGTATAGATTCTATCAAGTCCTCTCCTGTTTTGTATGGAACTTGAACACCTGTAGATGGTGGTATCTAAAGGTACCCTCCAACCAATTCCCCATGGATACCAGGGGATAATCATACATCCCTTTACTTAGTATATCTTTGGTTTGCCTTGTTTTGTGTGTCTACGTTTTTAATTTTCATAATTGGTATTCTGCCAAGACTTCCTTTGGTTCCCTGCCAAGCCAGGTGTGGTGGTATATGCAGTAATCCCCGCACTCAGGAGGCCGAGGCAGGAGTTGAAGGCCAGCCTGAACTGTACAGTGAGACACTCTCCCTGCCGCGACCAGGTTTGGGGATGTTTCTGAAGTTGCCCTAGATGTGTCTGGAGCACAGTTTCTGCATGCTGCCTGGACTTCCACGCACGTGGCCCCGTGTGCTGAGGACTGATCATACCCCTGGCCACAGCAATGCTGGGGTGAAAATCCTGTGTCCATTTTCCCCTCACCCCTGCATGCAGTCTCGGATGGTTGTGTCCAACAAGGCCAGACCATTGGACTGGTGAGCCACTGACTGTCCCCAGCCCTGTTGCTGTCTGCTAAACCGTGCCCCTGCTGCCCAGACTTGGCAGACCTTCTTCCGTCCTGTTGTCCACTCTGCCCATGTTCCACAGGCTCTGTGCTTCGCTTCCTGTTCCTGGCGCCTCAGTGGTTGCTGTGCATTGATTCCAACCACCGGTGTGCGCTGCTTTCCCTTCTGGTGAAGCCGTTGCCTGTCTGGCTGCTGCCGAGGATGCCTGTGAGGCACAGCACTGGGAGGAAGCAGCCTTGGGGCGCTGCTTGGCACCACCCCCATGCCCTCAGCTTCGTGACCTTGGGCGGCTTATTTAATCCTTCCATGTCTCATTTTCTCTGCAAAGTGGGGCTGGCCAGTATGCCCACCTTGCGTGTGTTTCTGTGAGAAGATCGGAGCCGGTGAGTCAATGCGTGTGAGCTCATTAGCCCTACCTGGCATGCAGTGCACCTTGTGAAGTGGCAGCTGCTCATAACAGTGGCAAGGTGACCTTACTGTGCGTTGCGGTGGCTTGACACCAGGTGTAGAGATGTGTTTAGGAGCAGGGGACTGAATGTCCTCAGAAAGTCATGATTGCAGGTGTCAGTGTGGTGCTGTCACCACACACAAGGAGAGAAAGTACAGGTATATGGTCACCCCAGGGGCCATGGTGCTGCCACTTACCCCTGCCTGGGAGGGTGACAGTAATTAGAGAGTGAGGCCCGACTCAGTGCTGTGGGAGCCAGGAGGAGCCTGGCAGAAGCAGAAGGAGCCTGGGGCTGCATGGACACAGGATCCTCTTCAAGTCTACTCTGTTCCTGCTCAGAGAAGGGGCAGCAGACGGGCTTGTCTGTGTCAGAGGGGCGAGCAGCGCAGCCCCTCGTGTGGGTGGAGGGGAACAGTGACCCTGGCCTACGTGTCCGTGTGCTCCCCGTCTGCCCCTGCTGTGAATGGAGGGGGGCAGTGAGCTGGGTAGGGAGGGAGTGCAGGGCCGGTAAGACTGGGCCACATTAGGGGCAGGGGCCCCCAGTGCGGGCAAGGGTGTGGGGGTGTTAAGGCGGAGCCAGCTGCCTGCACAGCAGCTTCGGGGAGGCTGAGTGGAGAGCGGACCGGAGAGGGGACTGCAGGGGAAGCTGGGGCCGCAGGGCCAGTCCGTCTGGTCAGCACAGCTGCTTTTCCCAGCTGCTGGCCATGCAAGTGCTGCCTTCATGGCCACTCTACCAGTTTGTGGAAAAGCACTCCCACTCACAGAATGGCCACAGTGGATGACGAAAATGCACGCCAGGACCATGTCTGGGGTGGGGATTTCTAGTTTGTTCAGCTTGCTGACTGAAAGTGGAGGCGAACAAAAATAATGCGGTGTGAAGAACTGAAAACCGGTTTTCTCACCGTGGTTCTCATGCCTGCATCTTCCCTGGGAGCCTAGCAGAGCCTGGTGGGCAGCTGCGGCCAGATGTTTTGCTAAGCGGGGACTTTCCTGGTATTGGACATGTGACCCAGAAAGACGAGAGGGCTTGGAAGAAGTAAGGGGGTGGGAGTCGCTCTGTGCCCCTGGCCGGGGCGCTGATCCGACCACCTTCCACAGGCCGGGGGCCCATGGAGCAGTGCGCGTGTGTGGAGAGAGAACTGGACAAGGTCCTGCAGAAATTCCTGACCTACGGGCAGCTCTGTGAGCGGAGCTTGGAGGAGCTGCTGCACTACGTGGGCCAGCTGCGGGCTGAGCTGGCTGGCGCAGGTGCGTGCTGCCTGTGGCCGCAGAGGCCCAGGCTCCATGGCAACAGCTCGGGAGGGTGATGGTTAGGATGCTGATGGATGCACCTCCAGGACCCAGCCAAGGGAGGGAATGGCAGCCCCAGCTCCTGGAAAGCCCAACAGAAGCTGGGCGTGGTAGCACACACCTGTAGTCCAGCACTCTGAGAAGTCGTGAGTTCCAGCCTGGGGTGCACAGTGAGATGCCCTCTTTGAAAATAAAACAAAAAGATACTAGTTGACCTGAAACTTTCCATTTCAATTTTGTTTTTCTCCTGTTTTTGTTTGTTTACTTGTTTCCTAATGCTGCTAGGCAGTGAACTCAGGACCTCATGTATGCTAAGCCAGTATTGAGCTACATGCTTAGGCCCTGCTTTTCTGTTGTTAAACTTGAATAACCTTGAAGGTAGTTTCAGATTTACAGGAAAGTTCCAAGAATAGTGTAAATAAATCAAATACCCTTCTCCCACATCCATCAAGCAGGTCACAGTACCTGCTGTGCCATTCTCTTGCACTCTTGTTACTTTTTAGCCTTTTGAACAGTATCTTTAGGTATCTAACTCCTAGTGTGTATTTCCTGACATCAAAGGCCTTCTCTTCTGAAAGGCACAATAATTATCAAAACCAAGCAATGAAGCAGTGACAGACCTGTCAGCCTTGCCACTGTCTCAGGAATCTGGTTGGGTGATTGCACGAGGGACTGAACTGAGCTACAGCCACAGGTGTTACTAAATTGTCCAGGCTAGACATTCTCCAACAGTCTTCTCCTGCCTCAGCCTCCTGAGTAGGTGAGACTGCAGGTACATACTACCATGCCCAGCTTCTGTTACTTATTTTAATTTTTAAATCGTCTTAGTTATAACCAGAACGCTAGGTATAGTGGTGCACATCTGTAATCTTGATACTGAGAAGGGAGAGGCAGGAGGATCACTTTGAATTACATAGTAAAGCCATCTCATAAAAAGAAAACTAACCAGAGGAGCCCATAATTCTGGTGTCTTTTTGTTTGTTTTTTTGAGCTGTAAGTCACAGCTCACTAAACTAACCCTTTTAGAATACACAGTTCAGTGGTTTTAAATCTACAGAGTTATACATTCATTACTGCTTTCTAATTTGAGGATATTTTCATCATTCCCCAAAGACACCAACCCATGGACACTCCTCTGCCCTGTCAGCCTCTTTCTGCTTTGTGCCTCTGTGGATGTAGCTGTCCTGGATCTCTACAAGAGAGGAAATTATGCCCTGTGTGGCCCATTGCACCAGCCTCTCCCTGACGTGGTGTTTTGGGGTTCTTCCCTCCGCCCGGGGTGTCCACTTGGTGGCAGATGTTTGAATTGTGGCTGCTGTGAATAATGCTGCTATGATACCCAACGACAGGTTTCCTTGAGGACACGGTTTTGTGTCTCTTGGAAGCTGAATTACTGTGTTACATGATAACTGTGTAACATGACAGTAAACATAGGAGTCAATGTATGAAATAGCAAATGAGCTTCAAATAAAAGTTTCTGATCCCCAGAAAATGCCAAATGGCCTTCATGTCACAGCAGCCTGCTGCTCCACAGACAAGGATGTGAAAACTCTCAGGCTCGTCCCCCGGCGGCTCCAGGTTGTGCAGTGGAAAGGCAGCAGGACCGGAGCCCAGGCCCCTCCTGCTCGCCAAGCAGGCGTGCGGCACAGGGGGAGCAGGACACAGTCTGTGCGGAAGGGGGTGCGCGGTGCTGTGCTCCGTGACCCAAGTCCACTGTTTTTCTGCAGCTCTACAAGGGACGCCCCTGTCAGCCACCCTGTCCCTGTTGATGTCCCAGTGTTGCCGAAAAATCAAAGACACTGTCCAGAAACTGGCCTCGGACCACAAGGACATCCACAGCAGTGTGTCCCGAGTGGGCAAAGCCATTGACAGGGTGAGCGGCCCAGCCAGGGTGGCCACGCCCGGGAGCTGGCAGGAGCCGGGTTGGGAGATGAGCAGTGTGAGTCTGGAGCCTCAAGGCCCTGCCCCTGCTTCCTGGCAGAACTTCGACTCCGAGATCTGCGGTGTGGTCTCTGACTCCGTGTGGGACTCGAGGGAGAAGCAGCAGCAGAGCCTGCAGACGGCCATCGTGGAGCACCTGTACCAGCAGGGCATGCTCAGTGTCGCCGAGGAGCTGTGCCAGGTGAGGGTGGTGCAGAGGGCCTGCCCATTCTTCCTGCTAGAAAGGGAAGCCTCTCCTGCTCTCAGACAGGAGGTAGTGCTAAAAACCACCCATGCTGGAAAAGCAACTCTGATTTCCTCTTAGAAATTGGTTGCCACCGAGGTATTGAGCCGATGCCTGCAACCCTTTGCTGAGAGAGGGGATTAGTGGGGTGACAGTGTAGATCTCCAGGGCTTTGAAGACACTGCAGTGAAGCAAAGGAGACTCTGCCTTGGTGTAATTCGGGGGAGAGAAGCCACTGAATGCCAGCAGGGCCTGGGGCCCCCTAGTGCTTCGGTGACAGGGAGAGGTTTGCAGCTATGCTCTGGGAAGTCTGTGTGGCCCCTGGCCCCCCAGAACAGGAGGGAGAACAGCTAGCAGGACCCTGGCACCTGAAGCGCCTTGCCACCCTGCAGCCTGTCTCTGGCAGAGGTTTCTGTGTGTCTCCCAGCAGTGGCACTGCTCTGTCCTCACAGGAATCGACCCTGAGCGTGGACTTGGACTTCAAGCAGCCCTTCCTGGAGCTGAACCGCATCCTGGAAGCTCTGCACCAGCAGGACCTGGGCCCTGCCCTGGAGTAAGGAGCCCGGGTGGGCCGAGCCTCTGCCCTAGGCTTTTGGGACGCAGGGCTCATCTGTGCTCCGCAGTCCCCCATGATGTGCTTATCTGCATCTGTCTGGGGCTCGGCTGCCGTCCTCTCAGGTCCCGGGCCTTCTCTTCACAGATGGGCTGTGAACCACAGGCAGCGCCTGCTGGAGCTCAACAGCTCCCTGGAGTTCAAGCTGCACCGCCTGCACTTTATCTGCCTCCTGGCCGGGGGCCCTGAGAAGCAGCTGGAGGCGCTCAGCTACGCCCGGCATTTCCAGCCCTTCGCCCGGCTGCACCAGCGGGGTGAGTGCCCAGCCCATGGGGTGGCGGTGGCAGCTGCTGCTGCTGCCCCCGCCGCTGCGTCTGGCTCCGTGTCAGGTTGCCAGTCCTCATGCCCGCCTGGCTTCTGTGTCGTTCAGCTTTCTCACGCTGGACACAACACGAAGCACCCGCAATTTAAAGAAAAGGTTCCATTTAGCTCACAGTTGAGGGGTCAGAATGTCCTGGCAGGAGGCTTGGGGCAGCTGAGTGGGGGAGCCCTGGAGGAGGAGGGTTGAGGGGCCAGACACCCAGGAAGGGTGCCCAGAAGGTCCCAAAGCCAGTCAGGTTGACACTGCCCCTTAACTGCTGCCTGTGTCGCCTCTCCCCAGCTCAAACCCTCCTGGATCCATCCAGGAATTCCAAACCCAAGGGTCCTCCGACTCCACCATCACCCCACCCCACTATCACCCCCCACCGTAGCATTTAGTGCTGGCCCAGACCAGCTCAGGCCCATGCCGAGATTCCTTGCTGTACCCCAAGATCACTGAGGTTTGCCTTTAAGATGTGCCTCATAGTAATCCATGTTAGTTTTTCTGTAACCCTACCCATACTTACTGCTTTGAAGTTTATTAAAAAGTAAACATGAGGGCCCAGGGTGCAGCTCGACAGCAGTGCCAGTTAGCGTGTGTGGGACTCTGGGCCCAATCCCCAGCAGCACAGAGGCAAATGCACAGTGTCACAGAAGCAGAGAGCGACTGTCTGCTTCACTGGCCCTGCCTGGGGCCGGGACCCGGGGTCTTCCCTTCTGCACACAGCGGAGCAAGAGCATCCAGGTGAAGGCGCCGACACCAGCATGAGATGACTCAGCTTGATGGGAAGGACAGGAGGGACCGGAAGGGACATGCTGGCCGCCAGAGCCCATGTGGGCAGCGCACTCTCTTCCCCACCAGGGTTAGAGGATGAATTTCAGTCTGTGCTGTCCGGCCCAAACTTTGGGCCGAAACCAGACTGAGTGCTGTGCTGGGGATGGCCTGGCACCCACACCAGCACCCGCACCCCTGAGCAGCACCCTGGTTCCCTTGCAGAGATCCAGGTGATGATGGGCAGCCTCGTGTACCTGCGCCTGGGCCTGGAGAAGTCACCCTACGGCCATCTCCTGGACGGCAGCCATTGGGTGGAGATCTGCGAGACCTTCACTCGTGATGCATGCTCTCTGCTAGGGCTCTCAGTGGAGTCCCCCCTCAGCGTCAGGTATGGGTGCACCCAGAATAACCTGATGGGAGTGACCTGTTTTTACAGGTGGAAAACAGGGCCCTGCCTCTCCTGCCCCCAAGACCCTCCCTGCCAAGCCACAGCCCTCCGACGGCCACTCTCCTCACCCCCACTCCCACACCACATCCCTTTGGGGATGCTCAAATGCCTATGGCACATGAATCTGGGCCTGGTCAGAAGTCCTCTCAAAGCCGTGGAAGTTGGGGTCCCAGCGATGCTCATTTCACAGACAAGGCAGGGAGGCAGCCTCACCAGGTGAACTGGCCTGCCAGGCACCTTACAGGACAGAATGTTGTCCCCACTGGTGGGTCCCAGGCCCCAGCCCAAGGTGGCAGGCTGAGTCGATCTCCACTGCTGCCGCTGCTCCTGCACAGGCGTTAGGAAGTGTTCCCAGCATGCCCAGGAGTGGCCCTTTGACCACATGACATGTGGCTGCGGCACCATGTATGTTGCAGTGTTGTCACCATGGTTCTGCCCCCGCCCCCCCACACACACACACAGTCACTCAGCTGTTAGGAACAGTGAGCTGGGTCAATCCAAGGGAGGAACCCTTTCAAGCTGACCAGGTCCCGTCTCCTCGAGGCCTTCACAGCGACTTGGCTGAGCGGCTCTCCGCCAGGGGCTTCCTTTTTGCCTTAACCATAGGTCTGAATTTGAGGGTGCCTTAGCATGGGTTGCCAGAATTCAACACCCCAACTATGTATGTGGCATTCCTGAGCAACCTGAGGGACCTTAAGGGCCCACTGGGCCTCACTCCTGCCGGGCCCATCTCGCATCCCACGCTGTAAGCTCAGTGTGCCCTGCCCCTCAGCCCTGCTCTGTCCGCAGCTTCGCCTCTGGCTGTGTGGCACTGCCTGTGCTGATGAACATCAAAGCTGTGATCGAGCAGAGGCAGTGCACCGGCGTCTGGAGCCACAAGGATGAGCTGCCGGTAAGCCGGGGCCTGTACCTGCGCTGGGAGGGCGGGGGGCGGGCAGCTACGGGCAGGACCAGAAGTGGAGCTGACAGTTTCGTTGGCCCCCACAGATTGAGATCGAGCTAGGCATGAAGTGCTGGTACCACTCGGTTTTCGCCTGTCCCATCCTCCGCCAGCAGACATCAGACTCCAACCCGCCCATCAAGCTCATCTGTGGCCACGTCATCTCCCGAGATGCACTCAACAAGCTCATCAATGGAGGAAAGTAGGTACCCTAGCCGGCACCCCACTGGACCTGGCCTGGCCTGGCCCACCCCTGAGGTGCCTTTGTCTCTCCCTCTGCAGGCTGAAGTGTCCCTACTGCCCCATGGAGCAGAACCCAGCAGATGGGAAACGCATCATATTCTGACTCCTGCCTGAAAGGGACTTTGCTGGAAACGGCTTTGCACTCCATGAGCCCCAGTCTGCTTGGCGGTGGCCCTGCGGCTGGGACTTATTTCAGAGCACTGCCTCATGAGGGGCCGCACCAACCTGCCCTGGGTTGAAGGACGACGGCTGGCCTCGTCCTCCTGCTGTTGGCTCTTGACTTCACAGCAACCCAGCGGAGGCCCTGGCCACCAGCAAGTTTTCTGCTCCTGCCCGTGGCCCTGTCTCACTGCCAGGCCAAAACTTGTGTCTATCCCTGCCCCACGGCCCGGGGTGTCCGTTGGGGCTCTCTGCTGCACAGCCTCACTTGTACGTTGTACATGGCCATTCCCACTGTACATAGCACAGGGTAGAGATGAATGCCAGTGTTTTATAACTAGGCAAATATATTCACAGCCTTCTCCTTACCTGTGGCCAGCCCTGTACTTAGCACAGGCCAGCGTCACCGTGTGCTGCACTCGGGCCAGGCGTGGCCTGTGGCTGCTGCCAATACACACTGGCTGGGGGAGACTCAGAGACTGCAGGTCCTGCACAAGGTGCTGTCCGTGTGCATGTATGAAGTCCGACTAGAAACCCGCAGAGGGGCTGGGAAGATAACAGTGTGGGGCTTGAGCCGGCTTTGGAGTTTGGCTGCCATGTGTACCGAGTCCTGTGCAGCAGGCCCCAGGGGTCAGAGGCACACAGCCTGTGGTCTGTGTTTAGATCCAGGGATATTCACCGTGTGTGGGTGAACTGCTTCCATAAAGTGTGCGGCTTCTTAGGCTCCAGGGAATAGAGGAAAGCACAGGGTGTCCATGAAGCTCGGCTCACGGCCTGTGTCTCCCCCTTCCCTCTCCGGACGTGGAGTTGAGAGCCTGGGGAAGCGGAGTCGGCACAGCCTGAGCCGAAGCACTGGCCCTGGGGCCAGCAGAGTGCTCAGGGCTCTCTTCAGTGAGGCAGGATGCTTCTGCTCTTTCCTGCCTGCCAGCTCTAGCTGGCAGCAGCTGCTGTACCCCCCCCCAAAAAAAGGCACCCACAGACTCACCACATTTTAGTCTTAGCGTTTACTTCCCCACCCCACACTCCTGCAACTGTCTTCACTGAAGCTCTACAGGAATGGCACAGATGGAGAAGACGGTGGCTCTACTACCATCATGAAACAGGTGTCCCGTGGCCTGGGAGGGGTCTGTGCCCTGGGCAGTCGGGATGTGCCGAGATGAGCCGTAGCCCAGCAGTTTCCACGGGCACTGGCTCAGACCAGGACCTTCACAAGGGTGGCGGCAGGGCCTGTACCTCCTGCAGGCACTCGTCATAGGCCTCCTGGTACTCCTCGTGGGGCTTGACCATGATCACGCAGGTGGGGCGCTTGGAGCCCGCAGCCGCACCCAAGTCCTGTAGAGACCAGGGAGGAAGGCTTTGGACAAAGGGGCGCAGCCTGTGTGGGGCCACAGCCCCGTAAGCCCAGGGCTTGCACATTCAGCCAGCCCTTTAAAAATATTTTTTAAAGGTAAGCTTTCACTAAGTCACTCAGTTTCCCAGATTGGCTCAAGCTGGGGATCCTCTTGTCTTTTGACTGCTGGGGTTATAGGTGTGGGCACCACCCTGGCTCATTTAAACTCAATCAGACTTGCAAGCCACAGGGTCCAGCAGCACTGGGCCTACATTTGCACCTGGCTCTTAAAGGTCTCCAGCCCAGGAGGGGCAGTGTTCTTCAAGCCTCTACCTTCGCCTATGGGGACCAGGTCCCCAAAATACCGGCTCAGGACTCCATGGGTGTGGCACCTCAGGGTTCAGATGCCATGCATGTTCACTGTGTTTTCATCTACACAGTTCACAGGGCCCTGTGTTGTAAAAAGGAAACCCCAGCTGTTGGGAAGGCTGAGGAAGGAGGACTGGGCGTCCCAGGCAGCCTGTGTTACATACATGACCCTGTTACACAAAGCAACAGACCCCAGCACAGAAAGCAACTGTGGCCACAGAGCACAGCTGAGCAGCAGTGAGGCCCCAAGGCCAGCCAGGCCTTCTTAACACCTTGGCTCTTGCAGCTGCCGTACCCCCCACCCCCAGACCCCCTCTCCTGGGGCAAGCTCCCCCTTACTGTCTTGGAAGGGATGTAGACGTAGGGCAGGTTTCGGTCCTCACACATGACTGGGAGATGGCAGTAGACCTCGATTGGCAATGTGTCTCCTGCCAAAACCATGATCCTGAAATGAGAGAAACCATCCTCACTTCTAGCTAGCTCCTTGCTTCCTTCAGTCCTAAGTGGTGGCCACTGGGCTGGGCTCCGGTGTGCAGGGCTTAGTAATACCCTACCCGCAGGAACCCAGTTATCAAGAGCCCCCAGCCTCTCAGGAGCAAGGCCACTGGGAAGGGGATCCCTACCTCCTGACAGCATGTCAGTGCCACCAAGCAGGGTAAGTGCTGCCATGCAGGGAAAGTCAAGGAGCGGTCCCATGACTCCAGCTAGGAGGCACTCCTGACCTGACACCACAGAGGGGTGGTAGCTAGGGAGAGAATGGTACCTTCGCTGCTGGGCAGGAGCCTTCAAGGCCTCAGGAATCAGGAAGGGAGAAAGCCAATGACAGAGAGACTGGCAGTATCACACCAGAGGGCCCCCGAGTGCCAGGCTAAGAAGCATGTACTCTGTCCTTAGAGGGTTTGCTGAAGGCAGGTGGCAAGCAGATCACAAAGCTCACCCCACATTCCTAACTCTGCTTCGGCCTTGTGGCCTCTGCTGCTTCCTTTCCATAGCTTTGTGGGTGTCCTTACAGCCTCAGCTGCCCTCTTCTCTCAGTGCTTTCTTCCTGGCTTCAGGAGCCACCTAGCAGTTACTACTCCTGAATCTACTCTGCAGCTTGGCCCACTCCCAAGCACCAAACATGTAGTCATCTGTCTTATCTCACAGTTAAAATGGATTGGGATTAGGAGCTTCGTGTCTCCAGCGCATGAAGTACTTGTCTGAAACCAAACAGGTTTTTTGGCAGTACTGGAGGTCAGACCCAGGCCTTCTGCATGCTAGGTAGGCATTCTGACCCTCAAACCCAGCTCTCCCTCCCTTATTGTCCACACTTCACATCTCTGGGAGCCCAGACTTTAACTGAGCATTCGTTCTCCTTAATCTTTCTGTGTGTCTCATAGGGACTGACCCCAAGGCCTCCCACACGCTAGGCAAGTGCCCTCAGCACCGATGGGGTACCACACTGCTGCGCTCAGAGTCTGTGAGACTGATTGCTGTGTCTGTGTGGGAAATACGGGGAATAAAGATATGTATTATCCTCGGATTGTGATACAGGCCAGGAAGGAGACAGTGAGATCATCCCCGCTACAGTCTGTATTTTCCTTGTGGCTGTATAAACAAACATGTGACTACTTGTGTGTGATGAGCTGGTCCATGCCCCTGTGGCCTGGTGAGCCAGTGCAGGGCTCACAGTACCGGCCCTTGGGACTCTCTTCGCGTCGGTTTCTGGACTGAAGGGCGCTTATTGACCACCTCGCTGACCGCCTCGCTACCTGTGTTTGAGCTGGGTCGGATCCAACCTTATTTTACCAGCGGTCACAATCAGAGCTGCCACTCGCGGGCGAGAGCTCTTACCCTTTCTCGCCTTTGTTGACAAATTTCTGAACCTCCTTCACCCCGCGCCGGATCTGCTTCTGCTTCACGGCTGCAACGACAGTGGAGTCAGCCGGCTCCGGCCCTGACCCCCGATCCCAGTCCCGGTTCCCCAATCCCGGTTTCCCGATCCCGTTCCTGGCCCCGCACACCTTTCTTGATGCACTTGTAGAGCTTCCGCGTAAGGCGCCGAGATGCCAGGGGCTGCGCGATGGGGTTCAGATTGACCAGCAGCTCGTGGTAAGTGCGCTCCCCGCTGCACGCCTCCGCTGGAGCCTCCGGCCCATCCGGATCTGCCTTTATTTTGGTCATCGCAACAGGAGTTCCCACTACCGCCCTAGAAAATCAATACACGCGGCCCGCCGCTTCGGGAATCACTTCCGGTTCAGGCCGCCGGGTGAAAGCCGCGGGACGCCACAACCAATTAAGAAACAGTCTCTGACGCCGACCAATCGTTAGCGTGCAGCTCCTTCCACGCCAAAGGGGCGGAGCTTTGGCTCTGGGGGCGGGGCTGCTCTGGGGGTTTGAGCAGGTCAGGGGCGGGGTTTGGGTCTCCACCAAGGAAATCAGAGGGCAGGGGCGGGTCTGGGAGAGTGGGCGGGGCTGATGGAGCTGGAATCCAAGCGAATGACTAACACCTCGGCTAGGACCGCGTGCGGGACTGGAAATCCAATCCGATCGCGGCGACTCCTTGGCGCGCTCTCCGCTGGACTCTCCCTGCGCTGCTCTGGGCGTCGTCGGAAGGAACGACCGCACTCTCGGTCTGAACCTCTTTTCGTAAAAGGAAAAACGGTGCCATGAGTTCACAACCTTTGCCCTAAGCATCACCAATCTACTTTTATTTTCTTTGTTTTTGAGACAGGGTCTCCCTCTGCAGTGCAGACTGGCCTTGAACTCACTGTGTAGCTGGAGCTGGCCTCAAAGTCGCTGAACTCTCCTTCCTCCGCCTGGAGTATTGGGACTATAGGCTTGGGCCACCATATCCGCGTCTTTTCTTTTTAAAAACAGATGCTGGCTAATAGCTCAGTATCTCCAACTGAAGATCCTCCTGCCTCAGCCTCTCAAGTGCTGGGATTGCAGGTGATTACTTCCATACACAAGCAACTTCTGTCTTGGTAGATTTCTCTGTTCTGGCAATTGCATAGAAGCAGTGTCTTGCGACTGCCTTCTTTCACTGTGAACAGGTAAGAGGCACATCTATTGCAGCATTTGTCAGCACTTCTTTGTGAAATGACACCATTGCGCACGTCTTGTCTGTTCATCAGTCAGTGCACGGATGGGGATGGGCAGTAAAGAAGTCCGAGCGTCGTGGGTGTCATAAGTTTTCAGTTCTCCTGGGTTTACACCCACAACTACAATTGGTAGGTCAGATGGTAACTGTTCGAGACACAGTTTAGCCACGCCATTTACCCTTCCATCCGCAGACCACAAGTTGTCAATCTCCCCGCCTCACCTGTACTGTTGCCTCCTGACTGTGTGAAGGAGCCTCTGGGAAGCTTCTGATTTGCATTTCCCTGGTGGCGAAGGGAAGTGAGCACTTTTTATGTGTTCTGAGTCATTTGATTTTTTTTTTTCTTTTCTTGAGACAGGATCTCACAATGTAGTGTAAGCTGGCCTTGAACTCACCATGTAGCCCTGCTGGCCTCGCAGTGACCCTGTTACCTTAGCCTCAGAACAGCGGGGGTTGCAAGTATATACTTCCACACACCTGCAACCTGTAGCCTCTTATGGGAGTCATTTGAATACTTTGTTTCGAGGAATACTTTGTGAACAGGAATGTTTATTGACTTTCCCATTTTTAAATTCAGAATGGCTTTTCAAGTTGATTCTTTTTGCCAGGTGTGGTGGTGCACACCTATAATCTCAGCACTTGGAAGGCTGAAGCTGAGGATCGCTGCAAGACGCAGAAACAACTCCATACACACTAAGCCACTTTATCTTTGACAAAGGTCCCAAACACCTTTACCAGAAGAAAGCCTCTTTAATAAATGGTGATAAACTGGCTTTGCATATGCCAAAGATTAAAGTTGGACCAGTATCTTTTATCATAAATTAAACTAAATTTGAAATGGATCAGAGATTTAAATTTTTTTTCTTTTTGTTTTCCTTTTTATCAGTACCAGGGATCGAACTCACAACTGCCTGCTTGCAAGGCAGGCGCTTATGCCGCTGAGCTAAATCTCCAGCTCCTAGAGATTTAAATATTAAAAGAGAAACATTAAATCTGCTGCAAGATAGAATAGGGAAAACTCTGAAAAAAATGGTGTAAGCAAAGACTATGAACAAAACCCTGATTACCCAGGAACTGTCACAAAGAATCAACAACTGGGATCTCATCTTACTAAAAAGCTTTTGCACAGCAAGAGAAACCACCAACAGAGTAAAGAGACAACCCAAATGTGGGAAAAAATGTTTGCCAGCTGATCCTAAGATGAAGGGTTACTAACAAAAACATATGAAGAACTCAAAAAAATCAGTCCTCCCAGATTTAAAAACCCAATCCAAAAATGGACATCTGAGATGAGTATATACTTCTCAGATGAAGAATACAAACGGCAAATAAATACATGGAAAAATGTCCAACATCAGTGGTCATTCGAGAGATGCAAATTAAAACACACTGGTATTCTACTTCACTCCAGAAAGAATGGCTATTATCAAGAAATCAACCAATAACAAATGCTGGAGGGGCTGTGGGGAAAAAGGAACCCTCCTCCATTGTTGGTAGGAGTGTAGACTGTGGCAACCATTGTGGAAATCAGTGTGGAGATTCCTCAAAAAAGTAGAATTGGAGGTCTTATTCCCCTTTTGAGTATCTTCCCAGAAGAATTAAAAACATCATACCACCTGGGCATGGTGGCGCACACCTGTAATTCCAGCACTCAGGAGGCTGAGGCAGGAGGATCAATGCAAGTTGGAGACCAGCCTGGGCTACAAAGTGAGCTCAAGGTCAACCTGAACTGCATAGCAATTCCCTGTCTCGAAAAGACCAAAAAAAATTGTACCATAGTAATATATGTACACACATGTTCATAGCAGCACAATTTGTAATAGCTAAATCTTGGCAAAAACCTAAATTCTTGTTAAATGAGGAATGGATAAAAAAAAGACATACTTTTATACAATAGGGTACTACTCATCAATAAAGAAAGACAAACGTGACTTTTTGTAGGTAAATGGATGCAACTTGAGACTGTGCTCTTAAGTGAAATAAAGACATGCATTTGTAACATCATATTGTCTTAAGTGTGAGAAGCTGAGACAATATATGTTTATATATATATAGATAAGATTATATATATATATATATATATATAAAGTATATATAGTTAAGATAGTTATACTATTGAAAAATAAGTAAAATTGGTTCTTTATTGTTTTGGAGTATTAGGTTGTTTTAGTAACTTTTTTTCATTGCCAAGACAAAACATTCAACAACTATAAGTTAAGGGAGCAGAAGCTCAGTTTGTAGAGGTTTCAGTTCATAGTCAGGTGGCTCCAAGGCCGGGTGACATGGTAGAGAAAAAATAGTCCATAGTGTGCCTCAACCCACAAAGCTCTTGAGGTTTTTGGGGTGAAGATATTGAGAAGATGAGAAAATAAAGGAAACAAAAGCGGGTGTCAGCTGGAACCCTCACCCTCCTGATGGGAGGAAAGGAACTGCTCAACACTGTAGCACATTTATTTATACACTCAGAAGAATGACATCAATTTCAACCCCCCTGCCTAGCAACTTGTTTGCCTGGCTGGCCTGCAGGCCTTGCCTTCTTAGAGCTTGTTGGTAGCAAAAACAACCTAATTCTTGTATTCTTTGATTGACTTTATAGGCCTGAAGTTGGTATCTAAGGATCGATTTAGAGGATAACAATATGCAATATAGCAACTGTCTGGTTTTTGAAATCCTATAGTGTTTTGATTTTGTTCCATTTTATTGTTTTCTTTTTTTAATGTTTTGTTTTGATTCCATTTTGTTTTGATTTTATGTCTCAGTCTGGGCAGCAATTTTGAAGATAAGAAGAGGCATTATTGCTGATAAGATCAATTGCTGATTTTTTAATTATCCTATTGAAGTCCTGTATCACTTTCACTGTTTTGTTTTGATTGGCTTTATTGTGTTTTATTTTGTTTGGTTTTATTCTCTTTAAAAGATTTTTTTGAGGTTGGCATAAACAAGACAAAACAAAACAAAAAGTGGAAGTTGGCCACTTCATAGTTTGGAAGCTGGAAGTCCAAATTCAGAGTCCAGCTGTCTGCAGGACCATGCCATCTCTGACCTCTCAGGAGAGAATCTGTGTTCTGCCTTTTTTAGCTTCTGGCATCCCCACGGTCCTGAGTGTCCTTGGCTTGTGGACACACCAGGATCCACTTCAACTGCCACACTGGTGTCCTCCTCATGTGTCTCTCTTCATGTGGTGCCCCTGTCTCCTCTATTTCCAGCGCTGAAGGTCAAACTCAAGACCTCATGCAGGCAAGGTCGCACTTTACCTCTGAGCAGCATCTCTATCCACCTTCTTCTCTAAGGTCCTGTCTGACCAGCACCCACCTTGGTGCTCTCAGTTTGATTACCTCGGCACAGACCAATTCCAAACAAAGTTACAAGTACCAGTACAAAGACAAGGTCTCTCTTTTGGGAAGACAACCTGGGGGTGATGGGCACAGTTAACAGGGCTGGGCGTGCATGGACTGGGCCACTATGCTCTTCTCTTATGTGCTATGGATTGAACCCACAGCCTTCCCTCTGAGTTATATCCCCAGTCTGTTCGCTTCTTTCTTTTGTTCATTCTTTCCTTTTTCTTGTCTTTTTGAGACAGCGTTTCACTATGCAGTTCAGGCTAGCCTTAAACTCACAATGTAGCCTGGGCTGACCTCAAACCTGCACAACCCACCTGATTCAGCTTCCAGAGTGGTGGGATTACAGGCATGTGGCACCATGTCTGGCTATTTTTTTAAAAATGTATTTCAGTACAAGTCATTAAATTGCCTGGGCTAACTCAAAGTTTGTGATCTTCGTGCCTCAGCCTTCAGACTGCTGGGATTACAGGCTTGAGTCACTTGGCAGTTTCTAAGGTGGGGTTCAGGATTCTGTGTCTTTCAGCCAGTGACCCAGAAATGTGTGGTTCTGATTTCCAGCAAGGATGACATTATGAGAGAAAAGGTTGGGGATGTAGCTCAGTGGTAGGGTTCTTGCTGAGCACACATGAGGTCTTGGGTTTGATCCCCAGCACTACAAAGAAAAAAAAAAAGATGTAAGACTGCATCTTGAGAAGCAAAAGGGACCACTGAGATCACCTAACCCAGACTCTGTACCAGCGGGCCAGTGACAGCTGCGGAGGCACTGTGCAGACGTTGTGGGCCACTGGAGGGCTGTCCATGGACTGTATATGAGGGCTGGGGTGGAC